CCCCCAATCTTTCGTCCCCCTCTGAGTAGGCACAGCGGGGCTAAGGCCAAAGGAAGCATCCCGTGTGCCACCTCAGTCTTGGCTCATGGGGGACGGTGTAAGTAATGCGGGACAGTGTAAGTAATGCTTAAGAGAATACCTGGAAGAGGCTCTTCCCTTTTCCCACTTTACCCAGCTAGGGCCACGGAGCGATGTGGTTGTGTCGCGGCAGGCCCCGCGGCTGTGGCGCTGGGTGCCCCACCAGCCCCGGGGCCGGCGCAGCGGGGAGGCACAAGTCAGGACTGGCCCACGGCTGCCTCGCCTTATTCCCACGTTGAAAATATGAAGATAAGTTTTAAATTCACTTTTTAAAACAAAATTAGCAATGACAACTGTTTCAGTTATAACAGTACTATTACATAAAGAGTTTAGGTTTTGTAATTCCTTCTGTCTTCAGACTTTTAAAAGACAAAACATCTCTACTGTACGCTAACCCTGTTGGTAATCTGCTGTTGCGCTTACTGCAGAAATTTTCCTCTTCCTTCATTGCACTGTTTTCTTTAACTCCACTTCAAATTGAAATGCAAAAGAATATCACAGACTGGAGCTCAATATATTAGGTCTTCTAGTTTATAGCATTGCACCAGTCAATTAGCAGTAGCAGTTGTTGGGGGGAAGCAGCTTTCCTCTGAAAGATGGTAAGAGTAACTCTACCCTCAGGAAGAAGGTCCCTCTCTCATTTATGCTAATAGTCAGGCTTCAATTGCTCCACGCCTCTCCCAGAATGACTCAGATAAATTACACTGGCAAACAGACATTTACTCTTCCACCACAAAGCTAGAAACTTGAAAAGATGTTTAGCCTCCTGACAGCCTGGAGGAAAATACAGCCGTTAAATTAAAACTGTCAGAAAAGGCATGTAAGATAAATCATGTCTGAGGTTGACATATGCATCCCCTGCAACTGCCTGACATACCCTAGATATTTCAAGCTCTCCCTCTTATTTAGCCAATTTACAGAAAATACTAAATAGAAGTGCATTCCTTAGGCATTGTCCTCTAGGTAGAATAATTCTTGCACAATTTTAAGCAAGAGGAACATATTAAAGGAACATACTTTAATTAAAGGATAGAATGACTCAGGGTTTCAGTAGTCAGATGCACAGGCTTTGATGTTTATTGGTTGACCAACTGAGAGGGCTCCAACTCAGAGATGTGACATCCAACAAATTATTTGTCAGAGGCTGTGTAAAATACCTGGGCAATTTCAGTTCCACTCCAAACAGTTGGCTATTTGTATCACAAAAAGCATCATTAAAACTAGATGACCACACACATTCATAGCCCTCTTGACATCTCAGCAGAGAGGAAACTGAAATACAGCTTCATTCTTCTGAAATGAAACCAGATCAGATGGATTTGTACTGAAGGCTGTCTAAAAGCTTAGAGATGATAGGTTAACATGGTTCAGCTGCACAGGTTGTAGCCTGCTTAGAAGGGCTGAAATACAGAGGTAAATTCAGGTTGGTGCAGCCAACTCTACCAAAAGTAAGCTAGTAAGTGTTTAGTGAGGTGATTTATACCAGGGTTAGAACTCCATCCCCATCAACAGAACCAGAACTCTTTTCTTCGTGCCTCCCCAACTGCGAAGTCCAGCGTCAAGAAAGCTTGTACTTCTACGAAGTACACTACAGAAATCCAGGGTATATATAGCTCCTTTGAGAACTCGACTCTGGATTTGCCTACAGTCAGAATAAGGAGAAAGGACAATGTTATTCATGTACCATTTCAGAAACAACTAGAATGCAGGCCTCTGTCAAATGCCAGCGGGAGGGCTGTGCACATCAGGACACCTAACTGATACATAACAGCTGCTTGACTGGGGTGAACTGGTTAAAAAAAAGTTTCTGCAACATGTCCACAAGCATAAAGAGCCAGATGCTTTTGTTCACAAGGATCCTAAATACGTATACGCTCTTAGATACTTGAGTTTTTAGGATGAGCAGAAACTCATGTTTTAGGCCATAGCAACAAAAGAATAAAAAAAAAGAGAGACTGCCTGTGACAACCAAAATTCTTATGGAACTTCCTATCAGAACTTAGTGTGGTGGGGATTTCAGAAACCTGGCTAGTCATAGGGCAATTTCCTTACAGGAAAATGCTTTGAAAGAAATTGCAAGCTGGGGTACTCCCAAAGCCCGCATACTAACAAACTGGTGGCTTCTGACACCAGCAGAAGACCATACTCAGTCCTAGCACTGCTGGACAATTCACGATTGCATCAGAGGGGTGTCTGAACATTATCCATCTTTAAAAGATACAGAAAATCCTTGCAAGACAGATTAGCAAAGGATTTTTCTCCAACATATTTCTCTTCTGCATCTTCAAAAATCGTTATCTATATAAGCAAAAAGTTCTTTTGTTCATTTTGATGCAATTTAGGCCACAAACCAGAGCCATTCCTCCCTGATGTGCTAGGTCAAGACAGGAGATCCTTGAAACAGTACCAACAGAACAGATTTGCTCACCAAGAAAGTACCAAGAGTGGCCTGCAGAATCCCCCAAAATTCTCAGAACTAGAAGAAATGTAAAAAACAGCGTAAGAAGTCAGATTCAGTTTTCTGCTGCAATCCTGGAACAAATATTCCATATTTTGAATAATTTTTCAAGATTTACATGCATTGTAGCATGCTCTTATCTATGCCTTTAAGTAACTAATACTTTTCAAAATCTGTAAGGGAAAAAACCCCCGAACTAATTTGTTAAAATGGGTTAAAATGACACCTTAAATGGAAAACATGCAGGCAGAAGAAACTTAGTTATAATATTGTGAGGTAGCTCAGCCCATACTGGGAGAATATGCCAGGAAGTTCTCAGAAAGCAGACAAAATGCTGGAAGTAAGCATTTCTGTGTCTGTAAGAAAGCAACACAGAAAAGAGTAAACTAAATTACATTATTAATTTGTTAACATAACAATAAATACAAGCCATTGATATTGATTTTTAATTATGGATTTATATATATTAGGTACTCTCTGAGCACCCAAGACAACAATTCAGATTTATAGTTCAGTTTTAAATGAATTGATGTTTCAGTTGCACCACTTTTGCAGTAGAGAACATTCTGGTTTAAAATCATCCT